CAATGGCTCCCAAATTTTATGATTTGTCTCCTAACACAGCACTCCTAAGAATACTAAGATCGGGGACACACATGTGACATGCCTCATCTTTACCATTAATGCATCTACCTATGAAGAGAGCAAAATAATGTATAGCGGGAAAGTGAATGCTCCCTATGGTAGCTTATGTAATATCTCTAGATTCTCCCACAATTATGCTAGCAAGAAAATCTCTAAATTCAGATTTGCGAGGATCCCTTATACTACCCCATTGTGGAAGTTTGCAAGCAGTGGTAAAATCCTCTAAGTCCATAGTGTAAGATTTATCATAAAGATCAAACTGTCCAATCCTCTAAGTCCATAGTGTAAGATTTATCATAAAGATCAAACAGGAGAGTTGGAGAATTACGTGAAGTTGAAAATTCAAACCTCCTCACAAAGGTACTAGTGAGGTTGTGATACTGGCTGCACTTCTCTTCCTCGAAGCTCACAAGATCAGCGTTACGCAAATATGCGTTGAATTCTTCCTTAATTCCCGCTCGATCCAGAAAGTTCTCAGAGGGCCATTCACAAGGACGCACTGGAGTGTCTCTTGGTGGCTCGTCATCAGCATCACGCATTGCAAGCCTGGGTCCTTGCTTCCTTGAAGAACCTCCTTGGAACATTTTCCTAAGCATTTTTCTTCCTCTGAAAAATTCTGAAATTTTTAGTAACTTCAAAATAAAAGTAAACCAAACTCAATAATATTGATAGCAACTACTCTTACAAGTGCCTAGAGCCTATATCATGCATCAAAACTACTTGGAACCATATAAATTTGACATGCAAACTCAAGAACAGGGTCACCTAAGCAACAAAAATTTGCAATGAATAAAGCACTAGAACAAAAACTAATTGGACCAATGGAGGAGTCACATACCAAGGAACAATCTCCCCAAGCAGATTTGTGAGAGGTGCTTTGAGCAAGGAGATCAAAAATGGCAGCAAAGTGAGCTAGAACTCGTGCTTGAACTGGATATTCGTGTTTGTGGGAGGAAGATGAAGTGTGTGGATGCAGGAGTAAGTGGAGGAGGGCCACCGTGGGCCCACGAGGCAGGGGGTGCGCCCTCCACCCTCGTGGGCAGGTGGTTGACCCCCTGCTGTGTTCTCAGTACCGAATATTCTCAAATATTTTAGAAAAAATCATATTTAAATTTTAGGGCATTTGGAGAACTTTTATTTTTGAGGTATTTTTATATTGCACGGATAATCAGATAACAGACAGAAAAATATTTATTTTTATTTTATTTAATGTAAATAACAGAAAGTAAAAGTGGGGTACAGAAGGTTGTGCCTTCTAGTTTCATCCATCTCATAATCATCAAAAGGAATCCACTAACAAGGTTGATCAAGTCTTGTTAACGAACTCATTCCGAATAATATGGAACCGGAGAAATTTCGAATAATACTATGTTACCTCAACGGGGATATACACATCCCCAATAATAAGAATATCATATTTCTTCTTGATAGTAGGAAGAGGAAATTCAAAACCTCCAAATATAATCGATGGAATTTTTCCAATAGAGTTGATACTATGAACTTGGGGTTGTTTCCTCGTAAAGTGTACCGTATGCTCATTACCATTAACATGAAAAGTGACATTGCCTTTAGTGCAATCAATAAAAGCCCCCGCAGTATTCAAAAAGGGTCTTCCAAGAATAATAGACATACTATCGTCCTCGGAAATATTAAGAATAACAAAGTCCGTTAAAATAGTAACGTTTGCAACTACAACAGGCACATCCTCACAAATACCAACAGGTATAGCAGTTGATTTATCAGCCATTTGCAAAGATATTTCAGTAGGTATCAACTTATTCAAATCAAGTCTACGATATAAAGAGAGAGGCATAACACTAACACCGTCTCCAAGATCACATAAAGCAGTTTTACATAGTTTCTTTTAATAGAGCATGGTATAGTGGGTACTCCTCGATCCCCAAGTTCTTCATAATGATAAGCAGATATATATCCCAAGTGACTCAAAGAATAGAGCTATGCTCCCCGGCAACGGCACCAGAAAATAGTCTTGATAACCCACAAGTATAGGGGATCGCAACAGTTTTTGAGGGTAGAATATTCAACCCAAATTTATTGATTCGACACAAGGGGAGCCAAAGAATACTCTCAAGTATTAGCAGCTGAGTTGTCAATTCAACCACACTTGGAAACTTAATATCTGCAGCAAAGTATTTAGTAGCAAAGTAATATGATAGTAGTGGTAACGGTAGCAAAAGGTGACAGTAGTAAAAGTAATGTTTTTGGTATTTTGTAGTGATGATAGCAATAGCAACGGGAAAGTAAATAAGCGAAGAACAATATATGGAAAGCTCGTAGGCAATGGATCGATGATGGAGAATTATGCCGGATGCGGTTCATCATGTAACAGTCATAACCTAGGGTGACACAGAACTAGCTCCAGTTCATCAATGTAATGTAGGCATGTATTCCGAATATAGTCATGTGTGCTTATGGAAAAGACCTTGCATAACATCTTTTGTCCTACCCTCCCGTGGCAGCGGGGTCCTTACGGAAACTAAGGGATATTAAGGCCTCCTTTTAATAAAGAACCGGAACAAAGCATTAACACATAGTGAATACATGAACTCTTCAAACTACGGTCATCACCGGTAAGTATCCCGATTATTGTCACTTCGGGGTTAACGGATCATAACACATAATAGGTGACTATAGACTTGCAAGATAGGATCAAGAACACTCATATATTGATGAAAACATAATAGGTTCAGATCTGAAATCATGGCACTTGGGCCCTAGTGACAAGCATTAAGCATAGCGAAGTCATAGCAACATCAATCTCAGAACATAGTGGACACTAGGGATCAAACCCTAACAAAACTAACTCGATTACATGATAGATCCCATCCAACCCATCACCGTCCAGCAAGCCTATGATGGAATTACTCACGCACGGCAGTGAGCATCATGAAATTGGTGATAGAGGATGGTTGATGATGACGATGGCGACGGATTCCCCTCTTCGGGGCCCCGAACGGACTCCAGATCAGCCCTCCCGAGAGGTTTTAGGGCTTGGCGGCGGCTCCGTATCGTAAAACGCGATGATTTTTTCTCTCTGTTTTTTTCTCCCCGAAACTCAATATATGGAGGAGAGGCAACAGGGGGCCCACGAGGTAGGGGGCGCGCCCTAGGGGGCTGGCGTGCGCCCCACCCTCGTGGAGAGGTGGTGGGCTCCTGGCCTTCATCTTTTGCAGGTATTTTTTTTATTTTCTGAAAAGTGGCTCCGTGAAGTTTCAGGTCATTCCGAGAACGTTTGCTCCTGCACATAAATAACACCATGGTAATTCTGCTAAAAACAGCGTCATTCCAGGTTAGTTCCATTCAAATCATGCAATTTAGAGTCCAAAACAAGGGCAAAAGTGTTTGGAAAAGTAGATACATTGGAGACGTATCATTCCTCCGGTAAACGGGAGTTGCATAATCTCATAGTCATAGGAACATGTATAAGTCATGAAGAAAGCAATAGCAACAAACTAAACGATCAAGTGTTAAGCTAACGGAATGGGTCAAGTCAATCACATCATTCTCCTAATGTTGTGACCTCGTTAGTCAAATGACAACTCATGTCTATGGCTAGGAAACATAGCCATTTTTGATCAACGAGCTAGTCAAGTAGAGGCATACTAGTGACACTATGTTTGTCTATGTATTCACACATGTACTAAGTTTTCGGTTAATACAATTCTACCATGAATAATAAACATTTATCATGATATAAGGAAATAAATAATAACTTTATTATTGCCTCTAGGGCATATTTCCTTCAGGCCTCACCAACTCGGACCTTGTCCATTCAGTGTGGACGGTGTGGGCGCCTCCTCGATGCAAGTTTTTTGCTTGGCTTGTTCTTCAAGATAGGATTTGGACTTTGGACCGCTTGAGCCGTCGTGGTTGGCCTAACTGCGGACTATGTCCTCTTTGCAAGCAAACCCAAGAAACCACGGCTCATCTGCTTTTCCAGTGTCGCTACACCATGCGCATTTGGAATGACGTCCTCCCGTGGCTTGGCATGCATCACAGCACCACGTCTACTTGGGTGACGAGGGCTTCGGTCAGAGAATGGTGGAATGGAAACCTTCAGCTCCGTCTTGACTCGCCCAAGGCGCTTGCCTCTCTTATGATGCTCGTCTCTTGGGAGGTTTGGTCGGAGTGTAATGCTAGAGTCTTCCGCAACTCGGCGGCCCCTTTCATGGTCATCATCAACAAAATCAAACAGGAGGTGTTACTTTGGGCTATGGCCGGAGCGAAACATTTGGGTGTTAGTAGGCCTCCTATTTGCCGTTTTGCGGTTTCTGTCTAGAACATTCTCCTTTATCAATGAAATAGCAAGTCTTTTGCCTTGTTTAAAAAAAATATTTGCGTGCATTCATTAGTGGACGAGCATGATTCGTCTCCAGCCAATAACACAAACTTTGTTGTCGCTTGAAACCATCAGTTTTTGCATGTTGTGCGCACGCTGAGTCAAATGTGTTCAGATTTCAGAATCCTTCAGACATCTCTTGCTGTATGTGCATGCATGAACTGAACTTTTAAGTTCTCACCCACCCTCTGCTGCGTTTTTCAGACATCTCTTGCTGTATGTGCATACATTTGTATGCCTCTCAGAAAAGCATGTAAAAGTAAGCCAAACATAATTACCATTTAACAGTTGATACATCAGGTAACTGGGATGATCCATCCATCCCGAACACGGGCACACACACACTCTCGGGCGCATCTCCAGACGGTACACACACAGGACACGGCACGCACACACATCTCTATCGTTTCGTACACAAGCTCAAGGACCGCGCGTGTCAGGCATTGCCACCACCGCGGTGCTCCACTCCACTAGTGAGTTTACTAAGCCCCAAAGCACCGTCCTTCGTGCGTCCGTATGCGCACGAGAACGCCAACACACCACTCATATAACGTACGCCTGCCGGGCGCCGGCGGCGAGCTCAGAGCTGGTGGCAGCTGCTCTCGAGCGGCGCCCCGCGGTGGCAGAGGTTGTGCTCGTAGGCCTTGCAGCCGTGCCGCATGACGCCGTGCAGCTTGGGGAGCGGCCCGCAGAGGTTGTTGTAGCTGAGGTCCAGCGTGAGCAGCGTGGACAGCGCCTCCAGCGACCGGGGCACGGTGCCCCTGATGCGGTTGTGGCTCAGGTCCAGGTACGTCAGCTCCTTGGGGAACTTGAGCCTGCTCAGCTCGAAGTCGAGGTTGTTGTAGGACAGGTCCACCTTGCCGATGGGCCGCCCCTCGGAGAAGAGGAAGGACGCGTCGCCGCTCAGCTGGTTGTGCGACAGATCCACGGTGTTGATCTCGTCCTGCGCGTCGTCGCGCGGGATCGGGCCCGTCAGCTGGTTGTAGGACAGCACCAGCGACCGGAACTGCCCCTGCACGAGGCTGGCCGGGATGCGGCCGGTGAGCTGGTTCCGGCGGAGGTCCAGCGACCGGAGGTTGGGCATGTCGGCGAAGGAGTTGGGGATGGCGCCCGTGAGCCTGTTGTTGGAGAGGTCGACGGAGTCGAGGCTGTGGAGGCGCGCCAGGGAGTCCGGGATGGAGCCGGAGACGTTGGTGTGGGAGACGGTGAGGAACTCGAGCTTGGAGAGGGAGGTGAGGCAGGCCGGGATGGGGCCCTGGAGGCCCGGGAGGCGGAAGAGCGAGAGCGACATGAGCGCCGTCAGCCCCGCCAGCGCGGACGGGATCTGGCCGCGCACGTCGTCGGCGCCGTCGATGAAGACGTTGTTCACGCGCCCGGCCTCGTCGCACGTGAGGTGGTCCCACGCGCAGCAGTCCGCCGACGCCGGCGACCACGTCTTGAGCGTCGCCGGGCTGCCCAGCGCCTGCTTCACCCGGAGCAGCGCCTGCCGGTCGGCCTGCGGGCACCGCTGGGGCAGCAGCGGCGAGCAATGCGCCGTCGCCACCAGCAGGAGCGCCAGCAGCGGGAGGAAGGCGGCGGTCGACGCCATCGTCGCCCTGCGGTTGTGGGTGGCTACCTTCTACTAGCTCAGCTTTGCTAGCTAGCTGTGGAGGAGGAGGCCAAGGTGGCGGAAGTGTTGAGTGTGGGAGTGATGAGCTGAGCTGAGCTCTGGAGGTGGCGGTATTAAAAGGGCGTGAGGCCGGGGATAAATGTCCCACCTTTTTTTAATTTATTTTTTATTTTTATAGTTTGGCTAGGTTTTTTGACCACCATCGAAGATCGAAGCGGGACGTGGTGAGGTGGCCCAGAGAGTGCGAGGGGGGGGCACGAGGCGGCGGCAGCAGCACGGCATGGCGCGGGAAACGGAACCACTCCGGTGGATGAATCCCAGACTGCAACCGGACAAGGAGCGGCGGTAACCGGGAAGCATCCCAGTGGGGTTCGGCTCGACTCGCGCCGTATGGCGCCATTGTTTTTTTTAGGTCAATATATGGCGTCATTGGTCCGTGCATGATTTAGATTAGCATAGCATGTGGGAACTCCCGGACCCGGGCTTTCGCTCGTCCGTTTTTCGGCCTCCGCATAATTGGGCTCGTCACGTAGCAGTCTTAATGCACGTACATGTGCTTGCCGATCTCCCATAACCAAGACCGGCGTCGCCTAGCCACAAGAGAACAATTAGAGCTTTTTAAATCCAAGAAACAGAGCAATGCTACACATACGCTAATGTTACGTTTAGATTTTACGTAAAAGCTGATGTGGGGTTTGTTAATTGGGCCAGCATTTGCAGTTGGGGCCACCCGGTTAAAATCAGGGAGGGAAGAGACAAAATCACTAATTAAGGAGTACTTGTTTCAAACAACACTCTATTTTTCCAGGTCGCGACAAATCGCAACCTGTTAAGTTTTTCCTTTTTTCTAGATTCGTTTATTCAAAATGTTTTATCTTTTAAACCGTGCGTCCAAATCACGAACCGTTTTCATCATTGGATTCCCCACGTCGAGTTCATCAAAACTAGATCCCATGTTGATAGGTTTTGACGAATTCTTTTTTTCACGAAAAAAACCGGGCAAAAAAACCGAACCAGGAGCATGATTTTTTTTCCTTTCCGAAAGAGGCACGCCCGTGCCTCTCGAAAACGCGTTTTATTTTTCCCTTTCCGAGAGGCACGGTCGTGACTATCGCGAAAGCACAACCGTGCCTCTCGCGAAAGCAAAACCGTGACTCTCGCTAAAGAAAAAAAAACAGAAAACGTGTTTTTCTTCGTTTCCGAGAGGCACGGCCGTGACTCTCGCTAAAGCACAACCGTGCCTCTCGCGGAAGAAAAACCGTGACTTTCACGAAACAAACGCGTTTTTTCATGATTTTTTTTTGAATTTTTTGATCGAAAAGCTAAGAAAGACCGGAGAAAAACCAAAACGTCGAAAAAAACCCCAAAAAACGTTTAAAAAACCAAAAACGCGTGCGGAAAAATAAAAAAATAAAATTCGAAGGAATCGTCCAGAGCGCGACACGTGGTGAATGGCTGAGAGCGCGTCAAATGGCGCTGATCGTTGCGAGGCTCCCGAAGGAGCGCTCGTTAACTAGTTGCTCCCGGGAAGAGAATTTTATGAAAGGTTACGTAACCCTACGTAGAACGTTTCGTAGGTGTAGAATTATCGCAAGAAACAGTTATCCTGCGGGGAGGAATTACGTACGCTCCTTTGCCAGAGTACATCCCTTTTTCGCGCTTGGATTCCTCGAAAATTTCGCAAGGAAACGCATGATCAAATGCAATCTCTTTTACGAGATTAATCGCCGGAGCAGGAAGCCAAGAATGAAATGTACATACTGTACTCTACTCCACAAGGCATGGAAGGCACCTCCTGCCGTGGCACGTAAGTCACTCACACATGACAACGAAGCCGGCAGCGGGCACGCACTGACTGACCCTCTGACCCGAAACGTACGAGCTAGTGGCCGCCCTCTAGCCCGGTTCGGCATCATCGAGTCCCTCACCGTTTCAGCGCCCCATGTGAGGAGAGGAGAGGAGAGGAGGCTGAATAATGCGGCATGGACGTGTCCGACAGGGTTCAGGCCGCACACGAGAGCGCATGTGGAAGCAAGCAAGAAAGAAAGAGAGAGGCGCCCGGGGAAGCAAGCAAGGCAGGCAGCGATGCCGAAAAGCAAAAGGATTCTTTCGGCTTTCCGGGCCGCCCGATGACGAGCAGCGCACAGCTCGCCTGGCCCGGCCGCATGCCATGCAATGCAATGCAGCTTTGCGTTCGCTCTCCCTCCGGCCTCCAGCTGCGCACCACATGCCCGTGCCCGTGGAGATGCTCTTCTCGCTTGGCTACTCCATTCCGCGAGCTCATCACCAATCAAAGAGTTCGGCGGGCGTGCACGTTATTGATCGTCATGTCTACGCTTTCTTTTAGCAGCGGGGTGGGGTCGGTGAATTAGATGGTGTGTAAAACGAGCCGCAATAGAAAAGAGAGGAGCGAGCAAAAGATCTTACTAGCTCTGGTAAGATAAGATTTGTGGTACTACTCGAGTGAGTGTACACCACGCATCGATGCTCGCCTCGCCTACTGGCAAGCGAGCGGGTGTGTCAGCGAGTGACAACTAGCAAGTGGCTGGCTGGCGGGCGATCACGTGGATGCGCTCGTGAAAAAGTAGAACCGATCACTAGCAGCTGTCGTCGCTGTGCTGTGCCGCCGCAGGCCGGAGTGAATACGCAACGCAGGGGCAGGGGCAGGGATAAGTAATTGGCCGCGTCCACAGGCCTGTGCGATCTGCCGGGCCACCGCCCGCGCGCGGGTGAGCTTCACTTCACATGCCCGGCCAAACCGCCCAGGGCAGGGCCGGGCCAGGCAGATCGATTCGTTCCGCCACCCGCAATTATTGTTACCGATCGATTTCTCGCGCCCGCTCACGAATCGTCCCAGACAGACAGCGAGCGTGCTGTCAAGTGAAAGAAAGAAAGGCGTCGGTCCATCCCCCGATGCATCGTCGCGTTGCGTTGCGCGCGAGCGCCCCCGCCCGGCCCACCACCGGTGGCGACCCGTCGCGATCGGCGCGGACGACGATGCTCCGGTCGCCGAGGGCTCGACACCGCGCCCATCAGCTCTTGGCGTCGCGTCGCAACTCGCGGCTAGGAGAGCCTAGCCTCCTGCCTCCCGATCACGCACGCGCGTGCACGGGGAGCGGCCGGCGAACTCGCGCGTGGGCGACGACCTGCCGACGGCCGCGGATGCGGATGCGGGCGCGGCGACGTGTCCGTCCGTCCGGTGTCCCGATCGCGCAGTCCAAGCGCTTGTCCGGTTGCTCCCGATGAGATGAACCGGATCTGGGGACGCACATGCATGATCCACACCAAATGGGGGGCGATGCATGCTGCTGCAGTTCCTGGGCGAAAAGGATGGCACGAGTGATGCTGGACCTCAGTCCTCGGTCGGTTTACTTCTCAGATCTGATTGTAGCTTGCCAACTAAAGTCAAACGTACAACAGTAAGCGGCTGGTTTCCCTGCGCGCTAGTGTTTTTTTTTTTGGAAAGGGCGAAAGACTCAGTGCATTCATTCATTCATTAAGAGAGGGTTTAGGCTGGTCATAGGAGAGTGACATAGATTAGTAATATATACATGTTATTAGACCTGTTTGGTTCCAAATAAGTCACCAACTTATAAGTCGAAAAGTGAAAAAAATGACTTATTTTGTCAAATAGACCCAATTTATAAGTCACCTCAACTTATAAGTCATAAGTTGCTCCATCCCAATTTAAAACTTATAAGTCACCCATTTTACATGGGTCCCACCACCTTTACATAAAAAAACAAGATGAAAAGGTGTGGTCAGGTGACTTATAAGTCAGGTGACAACCAAACGGACGTGACTTATAAGTCACTGGTTTTAAGTCACCTGACTTATAAGTCAGGTGACTTATTGGAACCAAACAGGCCTTTAGTCTATGTTACTACCTTCGTATAGTGGGTAGTGTCACGTGTGTGGTAACATATATATGTTCATTTATTACTTTGTAGACTCGTTTTACATTAGGAAGCGCTATGTGATGGTAACATATTATGTTATTCTATTTGTCTCTCTCCTCATTAATTATTTGCCACCTCATCATTTTTGCTTATGTGGCATCTATGTTACTACTTATATTACTCCCACTATGACCAGCCTTAGAACAAGTTTGGCCACCCTAGGGCAAGTGTCTGGTAAATCAAAGCCTGCTATCTCGGCATGATTTGACGTCCTTGAACCCATGCCAGGTATTCGTATAATCCTTGTAGTTGTAGCCAGTCAGTCGCGCACCATGCACCACACCCCTAATTGAGAATGTGCATTGAAAGAGGGGGTGTGACGCGACTCCGAAACTTGGTTGCACAGGGGACAATTGCCACAGTTTGGCCACTCATGCTTATCGAGGCGGTCGACTGTCCATACTCAATTTTGTGTAAAGCAAAGAACTTTCATTTTGGCGATGTCGAGTTTTTCCAAATCATGCTTTTGAAGCTTCTTGCAATGCTGTTGCAAAACTGCGCTTTGTATGCCGAGGCTACAGAGTAGTGATCCAAGGCGGTGAACTTCGAAAGGATGGTGTCGTCGTATCGTCTTGTAGATGCACTTGGGCCATCAGAGTTCAAAATGTGATGAATTTCTGGGTGTGTGCCACTTAGGCCATTTTGATAATTGAATTTGCTCCCCTTCCCCCAAGAACCATTCTAAAGGGCCTTTCTAATACACCACCTCTTGTTTGTGGATATGCCAAAGATTAACGAGCTTAGGCCTTAGACCATTTAGCCAGGCCGACTCCTAGAAGCTCGCCTCGCTCCCACCCCCACATTCACTTTTGTAAGGCCGTGAAATAAAGTCCATATCCTCCTCGTCGCATGGGTTCCCAATGCCAACCCAAGTCCTTTCCGACGCAATACACTCAAGCCATGGCCACCTTAGGTGAATGACTCGAGCAAACTTTGCCAAGTTAGGATTCGAAGGCCGTCAAGGTTCATGGGGCATCCAACTAATTTTGCATTTGCCACCAGAGATCTTGTCGGAAACCA